ATGCTGGACCCTTTTGGATACTCTGCTGCTTTTGGGTTCACGTCCTGTCTGACAAATGTGCCAAATGCTACCAAATTACACGATATAAAGGCTGTATGATTCAAAGCTTAAGCTACCACTCATTTATCAATAAAGTCTGCTATGACTCTAGACGACTGAACACTTGCAACACGGGTTCTCGGCAACTATGGGTAGCAAAAAATTTAGGAAAAGGGGGAACCAGGTTGGAACTTAGTTGTCCTAAGGGAGAGGAATGGATTTGTTTCACTCAAGAAGGCCATTGGGACATTTCTGATGGGAGTGGAATGCAGGACTTGAAAAGGGAGGAAATAATAAAACAAAAAGTGCAAACTACATTAAAAGGAACCATGCAAGAAAAGCCTTCCAACACAGGTGACTTATACCAGAAATTAAAAGACAAACTAGGAGAAGATTGGCAACTCCCAGGTTATGGAACTAACCTATATATTGATCTAATGGAACATATTATTCAAACCTTAGATTTATCTAAGTGCTGGATTTGTAGTGGACCTTTGATGACAGAAGAGTGGCCCTGGAAAGGGACTGGTCTCACTCCATGGGAAATTTTAAAATGGAATCACTCCCAGAAAGCATCAGAATCTAGGCCCCAAGGTTGGATTTTAACTTCTGATGTAGTCGGACAAGAATGCATTGAACGAAGAGGTAGGGAAACATATAGAACTAAAGTAGGAGAGTCCCCATGCCTATCAGTGAAAATTATAAATACCACAGGAGAATTTTGGTGGCCAAAAGAACCATTAGGATATTGGACTAACAATGTGACTGCAGGTTGTACATGGCACGATGAAGCTCAAAGCTGGTGGTGTAATAAAACAAACTCGAAAAATCCTTTTGAAAGCATAAAAGAATTGAAAATATATTGGGACCAAGTAAATAGTACCAATTTAGAATGGGTAGCTCCAGAAGGATTATTTTGGATATGTGGAAAGCGAGCATATACACAGCTCCCTAAAGACTGGAGAGGAGTCTGTACACTGGGTATAATCCAACCGGGGTTCTTCTTACTGCCCCCCGAAAAGGGTATGAATTTAGGTGTACCCTTGTACGATGATTATGGAACCATACACCAAGAAAAAAGGAATGACATTGGAGGAACCCAAAAGTGGTATGATGATGAATGGCCTCCTGAGCGAATCATTGCTACTTACGGACCAGCTACTTGGGCCCAAGATGGGACCTGGGGTTATCGAACCCCCATATACATGCTAAATAGAATTATGCGCCTTCAGGCAGTCATGGAAATAGTAGCCAATAAGACAATTCAAACTCTGGATCTAATCACAAGCCAGCAATCAAAAACTCGAGCAGCTGTGTACCAAAATCAGCTTGCCTTAGATTATCTGTTAGCTGAGGAAGGAGGTGTGTGTGGAAAATTCAATACCTCAGATTGTTGCTTACAAATTGATGATAATAGACAGGCAGTTATGGACATCGCAAAGGATATTAGAAAACTGACTCACGTACCCGTACAAAAATGGAACTCCATGCTAGACAGCCAATAGTGGGATAACTTGTTAGGGACAGCTTGGTGGAAGAAAGTAGGATTCCTTTTATTATGCGCTTGGCCAGCATAATATTTTTACCATGTCTTGACCCTTGCTTCATTAAATTAATAGTTTCTGTCGTACAGGGGATGCAAATATCAACAATGTTGACAGATCCAAAGACTGCTCAAAGTGCCAAAGTACTATTAGTCACCAGAACTCCACCTTCCCGAGATGAAGAAAATGTCAAATTAATATTGTCCAGGTTAGAGCAAAAGACGCGAATTAATAATCTTATAGAAAAAGGGGAGGGATTGTAATAAACTAAAAGAATGATTCGAGCTAATTAAAAAGAAAACAGCATAAGGTCAGTATAACCTAGAGAAAGAAGAGAAACAAATCGTAAAACTTAATTGGGCCCCTATAAAGACATAAAACAAGTTACCTCCCTTTTACCTTGTACAAAATTTATAGTGAGGAGACTCTGTTTAGTTAACTAGATGATAATACCTTTCTTGAGAATTTATAACTTTGTATAGATAACAAACTATGTCTAAGAAAAACATCTGTTGAATGTCTGACTTAACAATGTATATTATTTATGCTTGTGAGTAGATAACACCCTTGTCTAAGAAAAACATCTGTTGAATTCCTGACATAACAATGTATAATGTTTATGCCTATGTATAATGAATATTAATGAAGTAGCTGAGAATAAAGGTAGGACACTGTGTCTGCTTTTGTGTGACAAGCCTCCTGAGTCACAGAGACTCGGCTTGGACACCACAGCGCACTGTTCGCTCTCATCATATAATACATTCTAATTGGAAATTACTCGAATCTGAGATTTTACTTCTCACAATTTCTAAGTTGTAATCTTGTTAAACTAAGACACTAAGTTTATAAAAGAAGATCAAGCAGACAAATAAAAAAGCATCAGAGAGATTATTTCATCCACAACACTGAATTCAACCTTTGGAAGAGGAAAACTGTCATGAGGTTTTGGGAGAAAGAAGGACACTCAGATGATGCTGAATAAGACCACAGGGGAAGCTGCCTATTTCACTTTTGGAGCATGGACCACGTGCATCTATTTTTAATTTTGAACCAAGTTCCTCTGCCTCCTGCCAGAAGTCCTGAGCCCTGTGCCAGTGCAACGAGAGCAGTGGTCCAGCCATGTCCTAATAGCTATTACTTCTTAATAAAGAGCAGCACTTAGGCAAAGGATGAGGTTACTGTTGGAGGGGTCATGATTAATAATTTGAGACAATGGGAAGCTATTCTTTAAAGAAAAGTAATATGAATCCTTGTCTCAATGGTCAACTGATAGTATAGCTCATGACAATGAATTTCTTATTTTGAAAATACTACTTTTTAAAAAAAAAAACATCAATGAAAGAGTCAATCCTACAAAACATTTATAAGTGTGACCAATGTTCCTCAAAACAGAACCTACTGCAGGGAAGATGGATAGATAGATAGATAGATCTATTCTCAAATCTTCTCAGACATTAACAAAACAAGGCTCAGAGACATTGTTATTAATTACAGTTGATGAACATGCATGTTGAAAATGAAAAACATTTTTCTTCCTTAGAATTCATCTCTTTTACCATTAGTAAATTATCGGGAGTTCCTGGAGCTTTGTGGACACTGTTTGAATCTGCTCTATACCTGGTCACAGGTTGTTCACATGGCACATTAGAGAGCAAAGTTATTTGATATTTCAGATCAACTGCTTCATTCTACCAAATTTAACATTGGATGACTCAATATTTATAAAATGTTTCTTTAGCTACAATGCCAGAAGGCCATAATATCTGAATATTTTGACAGGGACAAACTTGGCTAGTCTGAATAAGTGCAAAATGGTAGGAGGTAGGAACAGACCACCAGCTGGCTGTCATTCAGAGCACAGTCCACCACACTTGCAATTACTGAACCCTAGAAGTGGTCCCACCAAGGTCATCATGACCATCATGCAGTGGGTGAGCAATTGGCTCATGGGTCAGGTGCAAAGGGTAATAGTGAATGGGGTAACATCAGACTGGTGACCTGTCACTAGTGAGGTTTTGCAGGGCTCCATCTTAGGCCCTGTGCTCTTCAACATCTCCATAAATGGCTTGGACACAGGACTGGAAGGAATGCTAAGCAAGTTTGAAGATGACACAAAACTGGGAGGAGCTGTTGACTCCCTCAAAGGCAGGGAGGCCCTGCAGAGAGACCTTGACAAATTAGAGGACTGGGCAATCACCAACCAGCACCAACCAGATGAAGTTCAACAAGGGAAAGTGCTGAATTCTGTCAGCAGTGCCCTGGCAGCCAGGAGGGCCAACTGTGTCCTGGGGTGCATCAGGCAAAGCATCGCCAGCCGGTCAAGGGAGGTGATTGTCCAGCTCTACTCTGCGCTGGCGTGGCCTCACCTTGAATATTGTGTGCAGTTTTGGTCATCACAATATAAAATTTTAAACTGTTAGAGAGCATCCAAAGGAGGGCTACAAAGATGGTGAAAGGCCTTGAGAGAAAGTCATATGAGGAGTGGCTGAGGTCATTTGGTCTGTTCAGCCTGGAGAAGACGAGACTGAGGGGAGACCTCATTGCAGTCTACAACTTTCTCATGAGGGGAAGAGGAGGGGCAGACACTGATCTCTTCTCTCTGTTGACCAGTGACAGGACCTGAGGCAATGGCCTGAAGTTGTGTCAGGGGAGGTGTAGGTTGGATATTAGAAAAAGGTTCTTCACCCAGAGGGTGGTACAGTACTGGAACAGGCTCCCCAGGGCAGTGGTCACAGCACCAAGCCTGACAGAGTTCAAGAAGCATTTGGACGATGCTCTCAGGCACATGGTGTGACTCTTGGGGATGGTCCTGTGCAGGGCTAGGATTTGGCCTCGATGATCCTTGTGGGTCCCTTCCAACTCAACATATTCAGTGATTCTTTGATTCTGTGAATTTTAGAATAAGGGGCCATTCATTCCAAGTAATGAATATTGAAACCTGGCCATCAGTTTGTGAACAAATTTTTATGTCTATCCTGAGGAACCTCAATAAAGAATGTCCTTGTGATGGTGCCACTTCATAACAAAAGCATGCAACAAATGGCATGCTTCTCTGTAACTGCCACCCATCCAGGCAGCTACAGTATGAGTCCAAAGGTTGTATGCATTTAGTCAGCAAGGAAGTGCAATATTGTTTAAGAGAGGCATTGCCTGGAGTGGGTTTTTATAAAGAAAGAGAATTCATGAATAAATAAACCATATGGGAATAAGCCAGGCTAGGACGTTAACAGCTCCTAGTGCAATGAATCCCTGATCTTGCTTGAGGTTTTTTCTACAAATAACAAATACAAAAACATTAATGCTGTACCACTGTCAGTCATGCCAAGGACTCTGTGTCCAGGAACATGCAACAGCACAGTTCAACTGGATGTTAACACATTCTTATATTTCCACCAGTTAAGGTACATATTGACTGACCTGATCTGAGTCTTTCATTTGAGCATTTTTCCCTTTTCTGCAACCACAACTCATAAGCAGTTTTGCATCTCTAATGACTTTTTCCTATAAGAGGTAAGTCAAGAAAAACATCAGCACAATCTGAACCACTGAAGACCAAGAGGTTTGTATTTATAACCAAGAGCAGGAGAAGAAAGGGGATTAGGGAAGCCTATGGACTCATCCTTCATTGCTGGGAGATATCCTTTCACAGAAGGATAGCTCCCAAGATGCCAAGAAGATTTCCACAAAGGCCAATATCACAGCATCGGGGACAACCAACAGTTTGGGAAATAAGCTGAGCTCAAACACCTTCACTTTGTTGACAACCCATCAGACTGAGTGTGATCTGAGAAGCAAAGTCCATCATGTTAATGTGGATCTTTTCTGGGGATTGAGTCACTTTGGTTCTTCACCAAAGCATTTGTTGCTTATCAAACCTGAAGATCTTGATAAATCACCATGGCAGAAAGGGGTTGGGTGTAGTGGGTTTGTGTAGCTAAATAACATTTCTTTTTCCGGGGAGGAAACTAGGATAAGTCACCTGACTCAAACAGGAAGATATTCCATACCATGTTACGTCAGCTAAAATATAAAAAGAGGAAGAAGAGGTAGCTCGCTCTCTTCTCTTCTGGGGTAGCTGTGTGGAGCAGTCGGGCAGTTCCATCGGGGGAGGAGATCATTGGTTGTGGGGAAGTATCTTTATTTTTAGTTCTTCTCTGTATACATATTGCTTATAGTGTTTTCTATCTTTGTGAAAATATAAATAATCTTTCTTAGCAACTCCGATCTAGTAGTTTTTTTTCTTACCTCTTTTCCCCCCTTCCCCCCCCTTCCCTCCAGAGGGACTTGGGTGCAGGCCCAGTGGATACCTGCTGCTCAGCCAAAGTAAACAATAACACTGGGATACCAGGTTTGGTCAAAATGCTCCTTGAACTCAAACAGTAGTACAGCCAACTGAGTCCCCACAAACCCATCGCAATTACTTGCTTTCCTATAGACACACACAAAGACATTGCCTTTTTTCAGACTTTTGCTGTCTACAGCTGAAAAATAATAATAATAATAATAATAATGGCCAGTCTTTGCGAACGAAGATTTGAGGAAAGGTCTTTTTACCTTTCCAGCCTGCGCAATGGATTTTTTAGGTGAGACACAGCCTGCGCTGAACTGAGCCCACCCTTTAATCCTAAGGTTCATCTGCCGGGGCCAAGCAAGCTTGGACAATGGCAGTGAGGTCCTCAGGACGTAGGTTTGTTTAGAGTGACCTTCTCATAGATGGATGGCCTTACAGGGCTAACGGGCTCCATCTGCCCGGGGGACTGGCTGGGATTCGAACCTGGGTCGCAGAGGTGAGAGTCCTGCATGCTAACCACTAGGCCACCAGGGGTCCCCACAGCTGAAAAATAAACACTCTAAGCATCTGCTAGGGAACAGAGGGAGAATCTGCTTGTGTGCAGCCATAGAGAGTAATGAGATTTCAGCTGGATGAATTTATGTAGAAAAGGAAACCCCAACATTAATACAGTTAATGAGTTTAGCCAAGTGGAAATGCTCTGCCCTAAATGACGAGGAAGGAAAAGGGCACGATTAAAAGGCATTGCAGCCATTGCTCAATGACAGGGCACAGCAGAGAGATGACCCTTGGTGGCAGGAATTACAAACAGGCAGATAAACTTCTGGTCACCTCGGGAGAGCCTGCAACCTGCCAGGTGCGGTGAGATCTCTTACTTGGTGACCCTGCCATCTCACAAGTCCCAGCAAGGTCAGATAATGTACAGAATTTATCTTTTCTCCTCTTTCCAAAAGAGAAGCTGGAAAAAATAAGACACTGAAAAGGCTGTACCTACACCTTATACCTAACTAAAATACCCAATGTGCTGCTGATTGCAACCTGTCAAACTTTGAGGTTTTCAGGGGACTACTTCCAATTGGGATCCTCTGTCTGTGACTGCCATCTATCAAAGGTGTTTTGCTCTTGCCCCATTACTACAGTCCTTCAATAATTAGTCTGTAATCTCTTAAATTCAAAAACCATTCACGAGAAAGAAGTGATTAAACTAAAAGTTAAAACAATTGTATTAAATTATTATGTTAGAGATAGGAAGCTGAGGCACATGAAGAGACTTGTCCTTGCATACACCAAGCAGTGGGGACCCCTGGTGGTCTAGTGGTTAGGATGCAGTGCTCTCACCGCTGCGGCCCGGGTTCGATTCCCGGTCAGGGAACTCCCCCGGGCAGATGGAGCTCGTCAGCCCTGTAAGGGCATCCATCTAAGAGAAGGTCACTCTAAACAAACCTACGTCCTGAGGACCTCACTGCCATTGTCCAAGCTCGCTTGGCCCCGGCAGATGAACCTTAGGATTAAAGGGTGGGCTCAGTTCAGCGCATGCTGTGTCTCACCTAAAAAATCCATTGTGCAGGCTCGAAAGGTAAAAGACCTTTCCCAAAATCTTCGTTCGCGAAGACTGGCCATACTATACTACACCAAGCAGTTCAGTAGGGACAGGGAAAGGCTTTGGATACTTCTGTCTGGAATCAGATTAGAGGAAAGCATGCTTTTCCGCATGTTACATTAAACATGCATATGCAGCTTCAGCTTTTATTCGGCAATCTGAAACAGAGCCCTCCAGGGTGCTAAGGGTTAGTGAGTTTTTGTTTGTTTATCTGTATGTTATTTTACAGTTCCTAGTGTCCAAGGAGTTTGTTAAGAAATTAAAACACCTCACTGGGGCTATCCTGCTGTGGTTGTTGCCTCCTAATATATCCCTCCATCCTTAGTTCAGCAGCACCTGATGCTTACAGGGGAGGTAGAGGAGAACACTGCAAAGAGGGGAGCTTCATCTCACTGGGTACTATAGACATTTGGTCTTACTTCATGAAGCATCATTTCCATATTTCCTGACCTTTTAATAACAGGACTGAGGAGGAGCACAGTGATCTTGAAAGCTCACAGATGTATTGCTACTAAATGATCCTGTGCTGCCTACTCTTGATGCAATGCTCTGGTTTAGAAGCAGGTAGGCACAAGGATTTCCAGTGGAGAAGCTTGCTTTGCCTTCTGCTGGCTTCCACTCATCATCAGACATCCTCCTTCCCAAGGTAAAGAGCAAGAAGGCTCCTTGGCAAAGCACGTATATCCCATTATCCCACCTCTTACAGGGAATCTCACTGGCCTCACCCTCCTTCTTGCACCACAGGCTTCAGCAGTTGGCGAAAGTTTGCAGAAAAAGAAGAAAAATTATAATAATAGTAACAAATTTATCTATCTCAGCTGCATGGGTGACAGGAGCTGAGCAGTTGCCAGTTTTAACAGCCTGAAGTCAAGAAATACCAAACTGCATTACCCAGAAGTCAAATGAGGGTCCGTCACAATTTGCTTCACACCAGCGGCTCTGGAGGAGGCACGGGAACACACACAAATCCCTGCAGCATTGCCCAGAGCCATCCCATGCAGAGTTGCCAGCCCCATTTAACGGAATTAGACATGAGACACATGGAACTGGCAGGTGTCCACTGAGCTGCCAGGCTCTTTGCTCCAGAGGAGCTAGCTGGGATTAAGTGAAGGATCCCATTTTACCCCTAGTCAGTCTCCCAAGTCTGTTGCTGGAAATATCAGCTCAAGAGGTGGGCTCAGCTTAGCTCCACCCTGCCGTGCACCTTGCAGCCACTGGCAGGTCTGTCTGGGCTCTGCTCAGTTCCCATAAGCCTTCCTTGGTTTTGAGCAATGGACATTGAAAATAGTGGCAGTAGCCTCACCCCCGAGGAGCTGGCTGCCCTAGTTACAGGGGCCAGGACCAGTTTATCATTATGTGGGTACAATCAAAACTGTTTTTTCTACACCCTCTATGTCATTTCTGATGGACTGTTAATAATGGATCATTTGCAGCAGCTGCCCAGGGCACACCTGAAACCTCAGGCTACAAGCTGGGTGTTAAAGAACCCTGTGAGACAGGGGAGTGTCTCTGTCTTCACACCAATGACTCAGCTGTGATAACTCCCCTCCAGGGAGGCATTAGCACCTTCACACCCAGCCTGAGGGGTCATCTCTGCTAATGGGCTACACTGGACTGGCATAATAGGCAGCTGCAACAACCTAGACCATCAAAGATTCAAAAATATCCCATGACTCACAGATTTCAATCACCCATTGTGAAACTCTCCACCCTGGGGGAGGTGCTGGGCATTCCCACCTGAACCTAAGTTTATGTAATCTTTGGGTTTTGGGACTTCTGGTACCACTCGTTGGATCCAGAGGAGGACCAGAACTTCAACAGGACTGCAACTGCCACTCTCGACAAGACTGCGATCATTACTTCAACGGAACTGCAACCATCATCCTGACCAACAGGTTTCCTTTTCCTTTTACTTTGCACTCAGGGGGGGCCATGTGGTGCCCAGCACAGGGGCTTACCAACAACATTCTGTTCTTGTCCCAGGGTGCTGGGTTATATATCTGTCTTTGTGGGTTAAAACCAGTTTTCCCTGTATCGTATTTATTGCAATCTTTTTAGTAAATTGTAACTCTGACTTGTAATCTCTCTTGAGTTAGGTTCATTTCTCCCGCCAGTTTACTTTTAAACCAGCGCACTGGTGCAACCACCCAGAGGGTGATTGAGCACTGGAACAGGTTCCCCAGGGAAGTGGTCACAGCACCAAGCCTTACAGAGTTCCAGAAGCACTTGGACAATGCTCTCAGGCACATAGTGTGATTCTTGGAGGTGTTCTGTGCAGAGCCAGAAGTTGGACTTGATGATCCTTGAGGGTCCCTTCCAACTTGGCATATTCTATGATTCTATGTATATCACTGCAACAGTGAACCCTAAAATAAAAATCCTTATGGGTGCTTAAATGACATTGGGAAGAATAACATATTCAGTGTTTATGTTTTTTAAGCTGTTCTGTCAGGGTGATCCATGCATCTTGAAGAAACAGTGCCCAGGTGCCTACAGTGGTAGAGTGGAAGAGGAGAAGGGTGGAAACGAATGGAAATGAGAACTGAATCCAAGGTGGAGGCAAGCAGCAGTATAACAGACAGCTGGTGTCAGGTTGGTGGAAAAATCACC